TTTAAAAAATATTTAAAAGATGTCACCAAGGGAAGACTTATCCATCCAGCCTTACATGTTGGAGCCAGAGTCTGACCCAGAGCCAGAGGAGAATGTATAACATTATAATATGATATAAAACTCAAAAAAGTTGATTTTACATGATATTGCCCCTTTAAAAAATATTTAAAAGATGTCAACAACGGAAGACTTATCCATCCAGCCTTACATGTTGGAGCCAGAGTCTGACCCAGAGCCAGAGGAGAATGAAGACCATCAAATTGTAGTTGATAAGTCCAGATATTATTTAGAAGCTCCATCTCAAATACTTTGAAGAAATAGTTCAGAAAACGCTATAGAAAATACAGTAAAATAAATAAATAAACGAGTTGAAAAATAAATAAACGAGTTGAAAATATGACTATACAAAAAGAATATAAAAATATCTACACAGTACCAGGACAGGCTTAAGTCAAATTTTCTGCACTCCTAGAGACTCCAATACACAACAAAATGCATKTAATGGCTAAAAATGTAGATTTTGCGTGAAATGTCCCGTGGAGTTGGYGCTTCTTAATGTCCACCAGCTCTGTAATTACAGTCTGATGGGGGGATGACTGTCCTCTGTGGCATCATCCAAGCATGTACCAGGCCCAGCTGACTCACTCTGACTTTCCAAGCTCAAGCAACAGATTAGGTGTCCATGCAGGACAGTGCAACGATTAGTGGCAACCTGAATTCTAAAAACAGATTTAAATTGTTGCAGATTCTTTAAAAGACATATGGGAATGCTGAATTACTTACTCTTTATCAACCTGAGACAGCCAGACAGAAAAGATGAGAGAGTGGAAAATCAAGAATCGTTRGTGTGATTTACTACCAGTGATTAAAAAAAAAACATGTCTGTGATTTTAAAACAAAAATATGATGGTCGTTTTGTGCTTTTTGATAGCTGGAATGAGCAGAAACCCAAATTGGTTCCCAAGCTGATGTTCAAATGGTTTCATTTAGGAACCAAGAACTTGCTACCAMGAAAGGTAACTGCAAGACAAAATCACATTTTCTTTTATGACCTCCTTAAGGATTTATGGCTACTGACCTGAAATGAATCAATGCTTCTGGAAGAGACTGAGTGTGCGGTCATTGTTTTTAAATCAGCGCCACGACAGGTGTGGGGTTCACCAACTCGGAATCAAACAACAATTTTATTATTTCTTATTCTAGAAGTCTGATTGTTAAACATTTGCAGTTGCTTATCAAGGAGAGTTGTAACCATTAGCTGTTTCAGCGTTGATGAASAGCAGACAAAGCGTAGATGAAAATGTCACCGTTCCAAAAACTCTTTTGACTTGTGAAGATGACGTAWATGTAGAGTTGGAAGAAAATCAGGTTAAAGTGCCAAAAAGTCRCTCATGGGAGTCTGAGCAAATTATTTTCTGTAACGAACGTGTGAATGAGGATTTCGTTCGCACCCGGTATCAACTGGAACAGACCCAAACACCCCAGAGACCCTGAACAAGATATTAGGAGTTTGCAAAATGTAGAACGACATGAGCTACTAGCATTTCCAGATGGAAAGAAATGCCTCTTCCTCACCTCAGTGTGAAAACAAATCCTTCCTCCTCRTTTAGATTTCCAAATCTGAACTAAAATCCAGCTGCATTCCTTAAATTGGAATGTCTAAATTTATTTTGCTAAACCAGTAAATTTCAGTGCAAACCTCAATAATGTGTTTGAAGATGTGAATTAAGACATCAGCCTTGGCAGATAATACTGTCAGTGTGCCTCTTTCGGCTTAAAAAAATATAAAACTACATATAAGATAATGAAAAAACGAGGGATAATGAAAACTAATAGGATTTAAGTTTAGATGGTTTTTTTTTTTTTTGGATCCTCACCTGAGATTTGCTGAAGCTTGTGTAAGAACTCTGCAGTGAGTTGAGCTCATCGGTGGGAAGAAGAAGACATATCTTAGAGTCAATCTGGATCAGATGCTCCAGATCAGAGGGTTCTGGGGTGTAACCATGATCTGTCAAGACCAACGCAGTCCACAAAGCCTGAAAAAAAAAAAAAGAATAAAAGAAATATGTAGAGTAAGTAGTGGTTTGTGAGTAGCTTGACAATGACATTACCTAGGTATTAGTCAGAATCAGAACCTGAAGTGCAGTCTATCTTTAGCTATTGATATTTAAACAGGTTCAGAGTCCAGTTTTGACAAATGTCTCTTTACTTTCTGTAATAYTCCCAATAAATCTTATGGGAAGCCGTGTGTACATGATGAGCTCACCACAACAAAGCGGTGAGATGAGATTTAGTAAGAACACACCAGGCCAAGTCAGATCATAACTCCACAAAGAACAAAGCTGTAACCTCGGCACTGGGGAAGTGGGGTGCTGAAAAGTACAAAATAACTGGCAAACAGCAATCACTGAAGCTCGTTGATGAGATGGAGTGAATTCACAATTCTTAAAAACCTACAATATTTTACGGCAGTTATTTGAACCTGAAATCTGGATCAGTGTTGTTTTCCCAGCCACCGCTGTGATTTACTTGGACGCAGCGGATAATTTAAGTCTCGACATCACATGGTTGTTGTTTCTTTTTTTTCCTTTTGTCACATGCAGGTTTTCCAAATGTTGCACAACAGAATTGGCGTTTTGAAACAGGCACATAAAAGCTAACTCTCAGCGCTATAACCATATGAACAAACCATAAAAAAACATCACGCATGACATCACACTACATCACAAAACTTTGCACAAATTGTCAGAGAATGAAGGCTTCTCAGCTACTACCAGGGGGTGGGGTGGTAATTAAATTAATAAAAAAATGTACTTTTAGTTTCACTACATAATACTTTTTACTTTTCTTGCGTAATGTTGTTATGAAGTACAGCGCTACTCTTAAGTACAACTCTACCCACCTTTGGCTACTACCACATCAAATTTTAGCTCAGTCTTTGCAAAACTGGATAAATTATAGCCATATTTGTGTTTGCTAAGGACAAGCAGACAGGACGCACACACAGCCACAAGCAACTTAGTTCCAGCTCACAAAACAAACCCRTTCCATCTGTGTCATTACTAATTTTTGGCCACAAATATAAACAAGACAAAATCTTGAAAACTGAAAAATTTGGAAACGTAATTAAAGTCAAGTTARCTTCATTTTCAGTCTTTAAGCTAAATTAAGCAGTTCAGGTCTGGCTGCTGCTTCAGAAATGATTGTTTCACTGTGTTCTCTGTAGAAACTAGTCGGTCTTTTACACTAAATTAAAGGGGCAATATTGTTTCTCAGGCATACATTTAAATACTATACCATAATAAAGTATCTATGTTATGTTTAGCTGTCATTAAAATGTTGTTTTTATTTTTAAATGGAAAATAAACTCATCTTCTCATCACTTCTCATGTGCTCCGTGATGAGGAAGTTCGGCTTAAAGACACGTCCCAGAGGCGTTTCTAGTTTCTAGCATGTTTTTTTATGAGAGTATAACATTATAACATGATGTAAAACTCAAAAAGGTTGATTTTACATGATATTGCCCCTTTAAGATGTTTGGCTGGTGTCGGTTTTGTACATGGAAGCTCTGTGTCCGGGTCTCTGCCCTGTTCTGTGGGAGTTCCGTAGGGTAGCATACTAGGCCCATTGCTTTTCCTATTATACATAAATGACCTTCCAAAAATATTGAAGTATTCAAATATTTTAATATATGCTGATGATACTGTTCTTTTTTTTTTGTCTGATTTCAATAATGAATCTATTAATAGTCAGTTACAAGCAGATCTTCAGATATTTCATGATTGGCTTCAAGATAATCTTTTGTCAATTAATGTTAAAAAACTATGTGCATGTATTTTCCTCACCCAGGAGACATTTCAATATAACAAATCAACTCACTTTTTTTAAACAAACCCCTTGATATTGTCACTACCTACAAATATCTTGGAACTACTTTGGATTCTCATTTGACTTATCACGATCATGTACAAGTCTTAACCACTAAGTTGAAACAGAAATYATACTTTTATTCAAAAATTAGATCCAATCTGACATCTTCCATTTCAAATATCTATCTTCATGCCATTATACTCTCAACCATGTCGTACTGTTTACCTGTTTGGTCTCTTACAGCAAATGAAATCTTAGAACCCATAGTTAGGCTCTACAACAGGGCCTACAAAATTCATAAAAAAWCTTCCTGGTTGGACTCATCACTGTACAGTTCTTTCATTGTCTGATGCCTTGACTTTTCAGAATTATGTTTTGTGTAGTGGTATTAATTTATATTTTCAGATCTTCCAAGGTGCCAATTATGGAACTCTCTGTGCATTGTTGCCCAAATCAAATTCTGGAAGTGGTCATTCAGCTAGATCTGTTACAAAAGGACAACTGATATTACCAACTTTTAAAAACTGTTACGGCCAGAGGTCTTTCTTCTATGTTTATACTAAAGCATGGAATGACATTCCTCAAAACATAAAGTCCATTTCAAAACTACAGCCCTTTAAGAAGAATCTTGTCTGCCATCTGCTGGACACTTTTTGTTGTGCTCATATTTAGACGTCCTATTTTGCAAATGCCTGCCTGAAATTGGGTATGCTTGGGTGTCTTTGTGTCTATGGTGTAGAATGATGTGATTGTGATGCTGTATTTCTGAGTGTTTTATGTGCTGCAGAACAGGAACCTGCTGTAAAACAGCAATTATGCTGAGTCAGGCTTGATTTTTAGTAATCTTTTCCTGTTAAATAAATCAAATCAAATCAAATCAATATAAGTGAATTGACTGAAAAAAGATTTTTATATAGCTGGGGTATTGTTTGGGCAAATTTGTATTTTAATAGCTGTTTTTATCGGCTCTTGTTCCCTCTATCTGAACATCTAAGGTCTTAGGGAGGGAATGAATGTCTTCCCRAACAGCGAGTTGTTGACAGCTGCTTTGTTGCTCCGGTTATCATGGCAACGCTGAAGTGTGGAGGTTGTTCAGACGAGAGTCTGTAACATTTAAAAAAGAATCGCCTGTTGTAAGAAGTGAAGCAGCAGCTTTTGATAAATGTGTCCCATGGGATCCTGCCAAGAACTGAGAGAAGTCCTAAGAATTGAAGATGCTTTGCTACCAAACTCCCGGTGACACAAACAACGTGCTCGCCCCACTGTGGCCATTCATGCTAACGCTGTCTCGCAATAACAGGAAGTGTCTCTTTAGCCAAAATAATAATAAAAAATAAGAAAACAAACAGAATCTGCGGTTTTAGTATCTGCAATCATAATCACACCAGTATTGTTCTAAAAGTTAAAGAAAAACATCATAAAAGAAGCGGTGAGACATTTTACAAAAACCCCTGGCAAGCTGCGGTACCAATGCAGAGCAGCCTGGGTCAAATTAAATGGAACCGCATGTTAAAAGGTAAGGATGTGTTTTCCCCCCTTTGTTCAAACAGGCTTCAGCCCAATCTGACTTCTTCACAGCTGCCAAAGGGGTTATTAAGGCAAATTAAATGAGAAAACAAAAAAGATGTGAAGTCAGAACAGCGTGCAAGAGTTCAGGGTGAAATACTGGACTGCTCCAGGTGGCACGGTCTTAGATGAACCCTTAAAGTGAAACAAAGGCTCTCATTCTCCCAACTTCAGCCTCCATCAGCGCAACCTTAATAACACGAGTGCAGCTGCGGCTTGTTGCACGACAATATAAAAGATTCTCACTTTTGAATTTTGCTGAAAATTAGGAAAGGAGTTTAATGAAAATTTAAAAAATAACTAGATTATAAAATTAATCCAGAACATGCAGAGCATTCCAAGTGAACCACATATGGCATCTGACATCTGGTTCATAATCTGAAATGCTTTGAGGAGTCGGAATCTTCAACCCAGAGACGGTCTAATCTGCCAAGCAGTCATCAAAACATAAATATCTAACCAATGCTACTTCAGGGGGGTTTCTGGAAGACAAACGCTGGCTCAGTTATTTAGGAAGCACTCTGGAAGCAATTTWGTTTGAAAAACATCATAGTTTATGWRTRTAACAGATTAAAAYGCTGCAACAAAGTAATAAAGGYRCATTAAAAATGTTATATTATACTTGTAGTAAATGTGAGTTTTGAGCGCTCTAGCTTTCCCTTATAACCCTTTATAAATGAGAAAGTGGAGGTAAAGTAGATAATACAAKGGAATCTGCCTGCAGGTGCCCTACCTCTCTGTCTGGGCCTTCAACGCTGTCCTCTTCTTCTACCTCRTCTATTTCCCGGAGCAGATCAGCCAGACGCTCTTTTTCTGCGGGGGTCAAACACACTTGGCCCACCTCACCACTCACTAGCTATTGATTTACACAAAATGAAGAATCAAGGGTTAAAAAAAATCCTTATTTGCACAACAATTCTTGTTAGTCTACAAGGCTTATTATATAACTTATAAAAAGGCAAATTAAGCACTGCATTTTTTATTTTTTTGCGTTATGAGCTCCAACACACCTCGATGTTCCTCTTGATGAAGTCTTTCTGTTTATGTTCACTTTTAAAATTTTTACTGTCTTCCAGCTGGTCGTCCTTCAAGCTGGTGGTGCTTGTAATAAAACCTAGAAATGTACCAAGTATTCAGGTAATAAAACAGACAAAAGCCAACACTGCTGAGAAAAAAAATGAATTTGTCACGTTCTCAAGCTTCTGTTCTTATAGGAAAACCTTGAAGTTTTTTTTATTTTTTTGAAAGGAAATCAATAACCTAAAAATATCCAAGACTGCGGTCAAAAGCCCCCTTAATGGACAAGTTATGGGGTAAARCTCTAACTCTATTTCAAAGCTGCACATCTATCTGTAGGTGGGAAATCAACTCTCAGAAGCTTTCTAGGCTTACGGTGCCACCTAGTGGAAAAACTCAAAGATTGTTTTCTTTTTGTTATGATTTTAGAAACTCACTTTGCTCAAAGCACAGGCGGTCTCCATCCTGCTCAGGGATCTCAGTTTCAAAGAGAGACACAATGTTTTCCTCCTCTGTCCCTTTAAGACAAAACATATTTAATATRTGGAAGTTGAAATGAGGTGCCAAATGTAAAATAAAATGTAAAAATATCACTAACATGCTTTCATCATTTAGCTGACTTTCTGCGTGTACAACCCTAGTTACAATTTTTTCCACTGACATTTTATTGGTAGTTAGCTCACCGTTCATATATTTTGCTCATTTTCACGAAATGTTAAATTAAAGCATTAAATGTTGTGTCTAAATGTTAAATTCTAAAACTAATTTAGTAAATCTAAATAAGTAAATCTAAATGTTAAAATTAAACGTAAATTTTGTGGCTAAATGATATTTTAGATTAAAGTATTTTAGAATGGAACACAGCCTTTGCTGGTGTTCAGCCCTTGGTATGACATCATCATCTGAGACAAAAGTATTAATAATTTTGTTTTTCACTTGGTGCCCCACACTTTTTTAAACTGTGTAAAGTTTACATAAAACAGAATACAATGATTTGCAGCTTTCAAAATCTCATAGTTTATTCAAAAGTGAACACAGGAAACATATCAAGTGTTTAAATTAATACATTGTATGGTTTTGTGAGATTGCAAATCATTGCATTCTGATCAAAAAGAAAAATAAGTAGGTTCTCTGGACGGGTTCTTCTTAAATGAAACATTCGTCTCTCCTCCAAGAGACTTCTTCAGTCTGAGGAGTTTCAGGTGAACTCAGCCTTATAAGCACTGCCTCCACATGGACAAACAGGTTAGTCATATGCAAAAGAGGACCATCGCCTAACAATAGGTCGTTAGTGCTTTGATTGGCTCTATTGTTCATAGAGGGTCATGTGCTCCATCACCTGACTATCATTAGGTCCCTGATTCACATCTTTTGCTCACAGGGGGCGGAGTCATACTTGCAACAACAGCATTGTAGGAGGAGAACAACTGGACACAAAGGCCTCCACCTCTGTTTAATGGTGGACGGTTTTTCTTCATAAAAACGGCTTCCTTTACTCTTCTCTCAAACCAACGTTCCTCTCTATCAAGGATCAGAACATCTTCATCCCTCAAAGAGTGACCACTGGTCTGTAGATGAGTGTAAACTGCAGAGTCCTGGCCTGTAGATGAGTGTAAACTGCAGAGTCCTGGCCTGTAGATGAGTGTAAACTGCAGAGTCCTGGCCTGTAGATAAGTGTAAACTGCAGAGTGCTGGCATGTAGATGAGTGTAAAGTGCAGAGTGCTGGCCTGTAGATGAGTGTAAACTGCAGAGTCCTGACCTGTAGAAGTTGCTCATCTGTGCTGGCTCATTCTTTTGAACAACCTATTCTTAGGCGATGGCCCTCTTTTGCATGTGACCAACCTGTTTGTCCATGTGGAGGCAGTGCTTATAAGGCTGAGTTCACCCGAAACTCCTCAGACTGAAGAAGCCTCTTGGAGGAGAGATGAAATGTTTCATTAAAGGAGGAACTTTTGATTTTTCTACCTGGAAYACTGAGCTGCATCAGGACATTGCATTCTGATATTATTGACATTTTACACAACATCCAAACATTTTCAGATATAGTTATAGGTCTACACCCTTCAAGGTGTTRTTTGTGATGTTACCTAAACTTACCTGTGCGAGCTTCTAAAGCCAAGAATCGTTTTGTGTTCAAAGCTTCAAAAGCACATTCAGAGTGATTTGTTTCTTTCTGAAACCACACAAAATGCACAGCATCATGCAATGACAAGCTGTCTTCTGAATGAGCTATGCAGATAATTAAATAGTGTCTACCAGGAGTTCCTGCCAGAGTTTGGCTCGAAGCTCTTTCCTTTGACGCCTGATTTCTTTCTCCTTGGAGTTTTCTGCAGACAGGATTTCATCAAGTCTCCTCATTTCTTCAAAGGCTCTTTGTAGCTCTGAATCCTTATCGTCATCCTCTGCAGCCTCAGTGTGAGACTGATCTGCTTTACGCACACAGAACAATGCATTAACAATGAAGCTTCATACTGGTCCAGATCATTTACCTTTGCAGACTCACCTGTGGTCAAAAGCTTATTTGAAGGCTCTGAGGAGCAGCTCTGTGCCTACAAGAAATGGTTATTTTAAGTTTTAGAGAAGCACGTTTTTCTTTTTCTTTAAACAACAACAACAACAACAACAACAACAAAAACAAAAACAACAAGGTATTTATTTACCTGAATGTTAGCAGCAGGGTCGTTGGACAAAACGACAAGTTCAAAAGGTGAAGAAGGACAAACTTTTTCGTTATGGTGAAGCAAAGCGCTGGACGCACGGCTTCCTGGTTTCTCGCTCGACGCAGGTCGGGATATGCCATCTAAACTTCCTCTGACAATTTCCATAACTCGTTTAACTTAAGAAAAGGCAGTTTTCCACACAAAGTCGCGTGATTGTGTGCTTAAAAGCACAGCTTGTTAGAAGTTAGTTTGTAATTCGTGGCTTTTACCTTTACAAGCACACAACATGTGTCCCAAAACGCTCTTCCCGTAGTTTTTTAGTGGTAGGGTACCTTTTTCCGGCAAAACACCGCTAAATGTTTGGTAACTACGGACGCATACATTCCCGGATGTTGTAACTATGGACGGTTGTTACTATGGGTACGGTAGGAAATGAGACAGCACCGCTGGTGCCTGAACCGATGCAGGCAGTTAGCGGATCGGGTTCAGCAGCTAGGGAGGTAGCCAGTGGTTAGCTTAGAGCTGCTGGGGGGCAGATTACCGTATTACGCACATTTTATAATTTTTTATTTTTTACTAAAAATCTGAGTCCCCTCAGCATTGCTGAGCTATTTTTTAATAAATGTCTACATCGTGAGGTTCATTCGGCGGAGGTTCCGACTGAGGCCGTGATTTTTCTGCGGTAGGTAAACGAGTCATTAACGTCCAGTTAGCAAGTCAAGGATGGCAGTATTGATTGTCGCAGATACTTAGCTCCTTATAGTAGCCAGAAGCAAATAAATAGCTGGGTATAACGTCAAATCAATATCGGTGACGTTCCAGATGCTAGCCGCTTAGCATTRCGTTATGTACAAGATGTATTCTGTCTTTTGTTTGGGGCGGGCCATTTCCTGTAAGGAGCAGCTGAATGGTTATACAGCAAATGACACTGTTACATTKTACATGTTAAACATTGTCACTTCCAGAACCACTTTACTGGAAAATTAACGAGCTAAACGCCATCAGATATATCTTTCTACCTGATGTTTATGCGCACAGTTCGGTCACTGTACCGCTGTTATCACACCCACTGGCAGCAGCTCTGCAATGTACCTGCGCCGTGCAGGTGTCACCGTGAAGAAGAGGGTTGCTCTTTACGCAGCTACAACGTATCACTGCGTTTGTGTCTATTTTCAATAGATTGGGCTGAAACTGAAGGGGAAAATGTGCGATGGAATGATAAAGTRCTTTTCAAATGCCTTCTGGGCCCACACCACAGCCACCAAACAGTCCTTGTTGTTGCTGCTGGTACTGACTCTAGTGCCCACTGGGCTGAGTTCAGGTAAGACACAAAATGTTATTATTATTATTATTATTATTATTATTATTATTATTATTATTATTATTATTATTATTAAAAGTTCTACTGCAGTTTTAGTGATTTCCAATCCCCTTCGCTGGGCCTCTTTTCCCAGGATGTGTGAGGCCGTACATGGTCCAGAACAGCTGGGTAAACCTCACAGACACCAACAGGGGCTTGTTCCCTGTGGGTACAGTTCTGCAGTACAGCTGTGATCCTGGTTATTTGCCAAATGGACCCAGCGTCCTCACTTGCACCACAATGGGACGGTGGTCCTCTGAACCTCCTCAGTGCATACGCAGTGGTGGTAAGACGTTTTATTTTTCTCATTTCTAAAGGAATAAATTGGATTGAAACTTGTGTGGTGTACCTTTTCTTCATCAGCATGTCTGCCTCTCTCCAAACCTGAGAACGGGGGATACACCTGCCATCCGTCCCCGTGTCGATTGTTTTCCCACGGCACTATAATTGAGTTTATCTGTAATGACGGCTTTGCTCTCAGCGGGGACTACCCCTACCTGACATGTCAGGATGGACAGTGGGACGGCCCCATGGAGATCAGCTGTGTAAGCAAAGGTTGGTTTGTATAATACTATAAATCTTCAATACACCTSTCTCAATTTGTTTTAGCTTTGGAAATAAGTGTTTCTTTTATGAACAAAATCCCCAAATTGTATTTACATCAAACAGTTATTCTCTCAGGCCACTTTACATAGAAACAGCTTATATATTTTTAATGTTTACATTACATTTGTTCTCTTTTTTTTATTTTAAGGTTGCATAAGACCTTCTGTTGTGCAGCACGGTTCCACTAATCTGACTGACACCAACACCAGCTTGTTCCCAGTCGGCACAGTGCTGCAGTACAGCTGCGACCCTGGTTACATGCTGGTCGGACGCAGCATCCTTACCTGCACCACCATCGGAGACTGGTCCTCCAATCTTCCTCGCTGCATACGTAGTGACGGTAAAAAAAAACACCATAAAACATTCTGTGCTATATCTTGGATTAAATACATTACTCATACATATCCTAATTGAGACTTGATAGCACTTGAAGTGAGTTACACTGAGTCTTGATGTCCACCCCGCCCCATAGTTTGTCAGCCTCCATATCAGCCAGAAAACGGTGGCTACTCGTGCCACCCTTCCCCCTGCAGACGATTCTCTCACGGCACCGTTGTGCAGTATTTCTGTGATGAAGGTTATGTTCTGAAAGGAGAYTATAAGTTTCGAACCTGTCACTATGGGAAATGGGACAACCTGATGCCAATCAGCTGCGTTATCAAACAAGGTAGATTAACRCTTTATGACAAGTGAAATAATTATTTATTTGCTGTAGTCATTGACATCACATTTCACTCTTGTCTCGTTTTGAAGGTTGTGTGAGACCTTCAATGGTGCAGCACAGCTCCAGTAACCTGACAGACATCAACAGTAGCTTGTTCTCAATTGGCACGATACTACAGTACAGCTGCGATCCTGGTTACATGTTGGATGGGCCCAGCATCCTCACCTGCACCACACTGGAGCACTGGTCCTCAGAACCCCCTCGCTGTGTACGCAGCGATGGTAAAGACTTATCTCTCTTTAACTACCTCAATTTTACGCTTCATGTCTTTAATACTGTAACGTAGCGTTTGTGTGATTTTCAGCGGTTATAGAAAAGTAATTCATAGATAGATACAGCGGGTAAAATAAGTATTGAACACGTCAACATTTTTCTCAGTAAATATATTACTAGAGCTGCTAATGACATGAAATTTTCACCAGATGT